TCTCTGTCTCTTCCTCATTCAACTCTTGACAATCTCTCGTTTCCCTACTTTACAGATGAGAAAATAGAGGCTTGGAAAGACCCTGGCTTGCTCAAGGCCACACAGTTGATAAGTGGGGGAGCTGGGGACAAGCCTGGCTATGACTGCTCTGGTCCCAGAATACTTTTGCCTGGCACCTATCACTGAAGTGGGGTCACCTGCTATTTTTATCCCTGTTGCTATGCAAAGAGAGTAGGCTCTCCAAGGACTCGCTCTGTTGGCTGGTTAAAACACCATGTCAGCTAGTGGAGGAAGGGTGTCTTCAGAGTGGATTGCAGAGTTCTGTGAGTCAGTCCTGGAAGCCTGGGGCCCTTTTGAGTCCCCTCATTCTCTTGCTGCAGGAAAGCAGGATTAGAAGAGTTAGTCCAGGGTATTTTTCAGTAATAGGAAGGGTTAGGTAGACGGCAGCTCACTGTTATTCAATCGTGACAAAAGTGCACAAAGGTCTTGAGGTCAGTAGCTATTTGTTTAGTGTCCTTCCCCAAATCTGGGGACACATGGGTGGTCTCTCTGGTGTCATCCTTATGTGGGGTCTCCCTCTATGGAACTGTGGGAGACTGGGTTTGTTCTCATCGCTCTCTGATGGTTTAAGTCCCAAACCAGACCTGGGCACACCGGGTACTAATTGTAGCTCCAGCTTTTGTGGTTGATCTACTGCTTTATCGGAATAAAGAGCCCAAGGCCCATATCAGCACTAACGGTGTGTTAGTAAATGCTTAACGACTGGCTTCCCTCAGGGTCGGGGTGGCATTTGCCAACTTCCATGGTGTACATGCTCCCACCCCAAGGTCGATTTGGTGCCACCAACGTGACTTCACTGAGCATGGAATCAGGAAGAGATGCACTGTAGCAATTCATTATGAGTATTTGCACCATATAGTCATAATAGATAGAAATAACTTCAAAAGCACAGTAACAGTAAAATAATTAGGAAGTGATGACTTTTGAGTATTTATTACTGTAAAACTATATAATTGGTTTGACTGTAAGCTTTTATAATTTAATTTTTAATAATGGCCGTGTCTAATGACTGACTCATAAAATTCCTGCAAATTCAACAGCCGGCTCTCATGAGCTAGTACAAACCAGCTCCAGCATGCCCCTGCTCCTCGTGCAATTTAGCAACCGGCTACCTGGCCTAAAGCAAGTAGCGAGGAGGCGGGGATCTATTATAAGACTATAATATCATAAATGACCAGCCTGGAAACCTAAAATATCCAGAAGGGTGGGCTCTGGTTACCCTGAGACAGCAGGCCAGGGCGGGCCCAAATCTCTGAGAGATTTGAGTAGAGCTGGGCTGAACTTATATTCTATAGACCCAGATGTGCAAGAAAAGGCCAGCGTTCTTCATCTGTGACTGTTCTTGTCTTCTCTAAGGCCTCCATTTCCTCTGGTGGGGGCAGAGGGCTCCCACTTGTCTGTGAAAGGCAACTTAAGGGAAACCATTTTCTTCTAGCTTGGAACAGCCTCTCCCAGGTCTCTCCGCCCCTCTTGAATAAAGATTGAGTCTCAGGTTTCTCCCCTCGCACCTCGCTCCTTTAGCAAGGATGGTATACCAGCCTGCGAGGGCTGTCAGAACAAACTACCACAGACTGGGGGCTTCAGCAACAGAAATTTATCGTCTCACAGTTGTGGAGGCTGGAAGTCTGAGGTCAAAGCGTCAGCACGGCTGGTTTCTTCCCAGGGCTGGGAGGGGACAATCTGTTCCAGGCCTTTCTCCTTGGCTGGTAGAGGGCATCTCTCCCTGGGTCTCTTTCACGGTGTTCGCCCTGGATGCATCTTCTCCAAATTTCCGTTTTTGTTAGGATGTAAGTTATATGGACTAGAGGCTAACCCTATTCCAGTATGACCTCATCTTAACTAATTATATCTGCAACCACCCTATTTCCAAATAAGGTCACATTCTAAGGTACTAGGGGTTAGGAATTCAACATACGAATTTTGGCGGGGGTGGGGGGACACAATTCAACCCATAGCAAATGAAGTTTGTCTGTAGAAGTGTCTGAGTGGAAAGGGATATGCACGTGTCCCCCTGAGGGTGGAGGGTCTGGGAGCTGTCTTCCATGTCCTTCTTGGTCTCCACTATAGTGTGGCTGGTTTGCTCTGGTTTCTGAACATCCGACACCTGCCAAGTGCTTGCTCAGGTGAAGCTGGTCTCACCTGGCTCTTTTGACCCCGGCGTCCGTAGTCATTTGGTTTTCACACTTTGTGGCCTCTCATTCTCTCTCAACTTTCTGTAATCTACTGGTTCTGTCAACCCTTTGGGAGACTAGGACTCTTGGCTGCCACTGTCTTCCCACTGCAGTGCTCAGGGCTCTGTGAGACCACCTTACAGCCCACCCACCTCTTCACCATTGTCAGCCTGGGAGGCCCGTGTTGGACGTGGACCTTTCCTACACTGGATGAGGAAGGAAAGGAAGGAAGGAACAGGCTCACCGTTCTAGGAGTCTCCTAACCTTGCCCAATAGGGTTTCTAGCCCAAGTGGGGGGTGGGACATGTCTCCCCGACACACGCTATTTGCCTCTCCTCCTCCCTTCCCCACTTTCCCACACTGGAGGTGCTATCTACTTTTTCCCTAAATGAGTGGGTGCTTAAGTTATCTCTCCCCATGGCTGGTAGTAAAAGTCAGTGTAGAGAACTCTAAGCAATACTTTTGATAGTTACAGGGAGCTTTTGGAATTTAGGAAAAAAATTCTCTCCTAAAACAAATCCTGGTTTTCAAAGTTAGTGGCCTCAATTTTTTGATCATGCATCCCTAGCAGCAAAAAAATTTGAATACGTTCATATATACATTTGATATATATATATACATCATATATATACATCTTAGAATTATATAATTTAATACTGTACCAATATGTTACGTGCTTTATAAAACATACAACCAAAAGTAGACAAATTAAAGGACAAGATAAAAATGAAAATAGAAATGCTAATATTGCTAATCTTGTCCTCCTGCACCCCAGTGTATTGTCTTGGGCACACCCCACTTTGGATGCCACTGTTCACTACTGCTGTCTTGCGAGGGATTAAAAAGAAAGAATTTGGCAGTTATAGCTGAGCAATGACCCCGCTGTTCTCATTGGCATCTCCTTTTCCCCGAAGCATGGAAACCTGTTGATTAAATGGGTGGAGAGCCACAGAGCATGATGATTTAAGCAGAAAGAAAAACACAGCAGTTTAATATATATTCAGCAGTGTCATCCCTATTACAGGGGAACCATGCCATGGGCTGGCCCTGACCTCCAAGGCCTGAGAGCAAGACAAGCTGCCTCTTTGTCCTGCACAACATTTCCTTTGTCATCACTTGAAGACTGACTGGTTAATGTTGCTGTCATCCCCTCCCTGGAGCGACGGGACAGCTAGGGTGCCCATCGGGGAGAGAAGCATGTGGGTGTCAAACCTGCACGTATGTGTCAGGGGGTGGGAGGCACCAGGAGGTGGGCATGGAACAAGGCAGGGAATGCTAAATTCATGTGCCGGGAATAAAAAAGGATGTGGACTCTGAATCAGGGCTTAGCTGCGACGGCTGTGTGTCCCACAGGCTGCCCAATCCCCCTTTTGAATAGTGTATCACATTGTGCTGAAGTCCCCAAGTCAGAATATGAGTCCTGATTATAAGGACAGAAACATAAAATCCTTCTAAAGCATTTCTCATATGGGAGCATTTGAGAACCCCGGCAGTCAGGGGAATGGGTTACAAGAATCTGTCCCTGCATTTTAATAAAGACCTGGGACAAATACTATGGGGACTTCTGGAGATTTCCAGTAGCTGATCACTTACCAAGGTCCGTGGTGTTGGTTTACTCTGGCATAACTGTGGTGTGGTCAAGTGGAAAGGGCAGGAAGTGCTTGAATCCGTGCTTGATTCCGGTTTGACTCCTGGCTAGTGCTTATAAGATGGTGACCTTGGGCAAGTTACCTTTGCCTCGGTTCCCTATCCATAGAATGCCCAATACCAAACGAAATAATGTCTACAAAGTGTTTCTGACACCACATGGCACACAGTAGGCATTTAACAATCCTGCTAAAGTTAGCTGATACAGGTAAAGCCTAGACTTATTAAAAGTTCTCCCCTGGGGGCTGACCCCGTGGCCGAGTGGTTAAGTTCACGCGCTCCGATTCAGCGGCCCAGGGTTTGGCTGGTTCCGATCCTGGGCGCAGACCTAGCACTGCTCGTCAGCCCGTGCTGAGGCGGCGTCCCACATGCCACAACCAGAGGGGCTCACAACTAGAATCTACAACTGTGTGCTGGGGGGCTTTGGGGAGAAGAATGGGAAAAAAAAAGAAGATTGGCAACAGATGTTAGCACAGGTGCCAATCTTTAACTACAAAAAAGAAAAAAGTTCTCCCCCCCAAATTTCCTAGCATCTCCTGCCTGCCTGATGCCTGTCCCTTCAACCCAAACTCGGAGGCATTATTTAAAGTGGTCTGTTGGGGCCGGCCCGTGGCTGAGTGGTTAAGTTCGCATGCTCCGCTGCAGGCGGCCCAGTGTTTCGTTGGTGCGAATCCTGGGCGCGGACATGGCACTGCTCGTCGAGCCACATTGAGGCAGCGTCCCACATGCCACAACTAGAGGGACCCACAACTAGAGGGACCCACAACTAAGAACATACAACTATGTACTGGGGGGCTTTGGGGAGAAAAAGGAAAAAATTAAAAAAATAAAATAAAAAATAAAGTGGCCTGTTATTTAAAAGCAAAATTTCTAGGACTGTTTAGCTTTCTAATTCACTTTACAATTAATTCAATTTCTGCATATAAAAATTTTACATTGTCATTAGGAAAATTACCAGAGTTTCCTACCATGTTTATCTGTACTGTCACCTCACCAATTTCCCTGCACCAGCCCCTCCTCACTTCTGTATTATTTATACCCCAGTTTGATGCCCCTCCCACTACATTCACATTTTTAGTAGGAAACTCTTGAAAGCTTGGCCATTTTAAAACTCAAAGGAAGTGTACCTCCAACAGTGAGACTCAGGCTGTGTGACAGATGGTAGAAAGAAATATTTACACGAAGGCTGTGGCTGGGAGGGCAGACACGCTCACTGTTGCCGTAGGTGAACTTGTGTTGCTGCCTGTTGGACACGCAGGCACAACGTGGCGAAGCCTCCATGAGTCCTGACGTGTCTTCCTCACAGCAAACAGCCGCCACCTTTAGTTACTCCTTGGGGACCACGATTTTTCTCAGCCAGCCTCCTTCACGATCTCCTCCAAAGTGCGCTTGGCTCTCCCGGGAGAATCGCAGCTGAGAATGACAGCTGGACAGTTGCACCCGGCTCACCAGCTTCGCACACAGCTTGCTTTCAAGGAAGTGGGGCAGCAAACTGGCAGGTAGGTGATGGTGTGGTGGGACAGGTGCGTGAAGTCGAGGATTGGGAAGAATCTTCCCTCGGTGTTAGTGGAAGGACAGATCTGTGGGGGGCATCACAGCGACGGGCTTGGGAGTCAAGGGCAACTGGTGACATGGGGAGAAGGGAGGCAGCTGCTCTCACTTCTGCCATTTTCACGAAAGCCTACCTTGCTTATGTTTACTAAAATGTTTCAAAAATAAAATGTGGGAAAAGCAAAATTTTTTAACAAGTTTAATACAGGAAGGTGTTATGGTCTTTCTGCCCCTACAAATTTAAGTCTCCTCCAGGGGTCTCCAGGCAGACCCTGATGGGCTCTCCCCGTGTGGGAAACACTGCCACCTGCTGGGCATTTGGAGACTGTCAGCAGACCCTGCTAGTCAAACCGAGGCCCACTTTCCCAGCAACCTGTGTGTCAGCAAACTGGGCCACCAAAGCAGAGGCGCACAGCATCCAAGAGCTGTGGCTGCCTTTCCCAGTGGCCCCAGGGAGGAATTACTCAACCGACCAGAAAATAGAGATAATCAATTCGACCTTGTTCTTAACCTTTAAGAGAAGTGTATTAAATTAAAATTCTAATACTTGCCTTCTGAAATGATTTAATTTGTCCTACAATTATATTACCTCCATAAAAATGAAAACAAACAAAATAGCGTTGGATTATATGAGCAAAACTGTCCTTTTGCCTAGCTTCCCCCTTACCACCTATGACACATGAGGGGAGCCTCTGTTCCATATCTACACTATAGGGTTGTTATAAGGATTAAAAAATCTAGCACTTAGTAAATGCTCAATAAATGGTGGCTCTTATGCTTAATTTGGTTCTAAAATTCTATGAAGCTTGGAAAAGTGGTAACATGTTAACCCATTATTAACCCAATACTTCTTCCAAGAACGTTTTTTAGAGAACCCTCTTTGTGCTCTTCTGTTGGGGTCCAGTCCTAAGTGAGACGTAGATCATAGGAATCTTCTGTCCCAGCCCTACCCTCTGCTGTTCCGAGGTCACCCTACTGCGCCATCTTGGTTTTCCTGAAAAAAACAAAACACACTCCCCAACACACACGCACACCAACAATTCTGACCGGAATGTGCCCAGAAGAGCTGCAGTGGACACCATGGGGGAGGAGAAAGGTTATGAGGATTTTTGGGCGGGCTTTTGGAGCCCACTTTGCCTTTGGCACCTCCATCACCTATTTCTGGCCTTAGAATTTTAATCTAAGCCACTGATTGAAGCCCATATATGATTCAGCAGCGCATGGGGAAAAAAATCTTAGAAATACATTGAATCAAAACAAAATAAAAAACAAAAAGGCCATCTAAGGGAAAAGCCTCTGTGCCGGAGGTGGGGGTGGAGCACCGGGGAGGGGCCGTGAGAGGTGAGACAGCTGCCTTAGGGAACAGCTAAACATTTGCTAAGGGAGTGGGAGAAAACAGAGGAGTGGGGAGAGAGAAGTGGAGAGGAAGTGCAAATAAAGTTCACTAGAGCTGGGAGATGACCTCGTGAGCCCATTCTTCATTCCACGCACGCTTCCTACCCTCCCTCTCTGTGCTAGACTTGGGGTGGGGGCGTGAAATGTCACCAGATGCAGCTCCTCTGGAAGGGAAACTCAGGCCTATGATTGCTCTTTGGAGGTTCAAAGCCTTGCAGGACTATGCCTGAGCCTCAGACCGTGACAGACGTCATCAAACACTCTCCTGGCCTGTGTGAGAACAGGCAGCACTCCATTCACACTCATTTCTCTTTTGTTCGCAGAGGAATAATCTGCACAAAACATGCAGTAGTTTTGTGCCTGGCTTTCCAGCTGTGGTCTCGGGGGAGACATTATGTTTGGAGCATCCCAGCTTTGGAATCCGTTGACCTAAACATTATCAGATGTGTACTCAGAACCAATGAAATTGTGTTCTGTGGAAATATAAAACAAGGGCACTTCTGATTCCTGCAAAAGCAGTTAACTGTCTTGTATTCATTGCTGACAGACTAAAGACCACCCTCAAATTCAGCCAGCCAGGACTCAGCAGTGCCCAACATGGGCCGTCAGAGTTCAGTGACTGCATTGTGGGCTTAGGCACTGTGTCAGTTCATGAGCAAATTAGATTAATTGAGAAAGTAAGTCATTTGTGTTTGGTCACAGCAATTAGACAAAATGTGAGATCACAACATTGTGAGAGCAAAAAGTTTGAACCAGTCCTTCAAAATATGAAGCAACTTGTTGGGGCTGGCCCCATGGTGTAGCGGTTAAGTTCAATGTGCTCCAATTCAGTGGTCCAGGTTCATGGGTTCAGATCCTGGGCATGGACCCAAACCACTCGTCAGCCATGCTGTGGTGATGACCCACATGTAAAGTGAAGGAGGACTGGCACAGATGTTAGCTCAGGGCTGATCTTCCTTAAGCAAAAAAAGAGGAAGATTGTCAACAGATGTTAGCTCAGGGGGAATCTTCCTCAGGGAAAAAAAAAAATAGAGCAACTTGCTGATGTGTAACTTCAGCTTTGGGTAGTTACAATAAAAATGAGGGGTGGGTGGGAGTACAGTCTGCAAGTTCATTAGGGGGTGGGTGGCATGTGCTTGATTTCTAAGCCAATCTAAAACCATAGAAACATAAGCATAATTTGGAAAACTGTGGAGCAGGATTCCACCATGCGATTTCAAGGCAACATTTTGCATGTGATCTACGATCCCCTTGGGGCCATATGATTATCCAAAGTAACAGAGAGTAACTGTTAATGTAGTCTTTTTCCAACTAGAACATTCTGAAGGACTCCTCAAATTATAAATTAGCTAAACACTGCTAAGACTTGGAGAGCTTTAGAGCTCCTTGCAGCATAGTGCAGTGACAGAGTAACCCCAGGGACGTTATATCTCAATGCAGAGTGGAAGAATCTGCTGTGTTCCCCAAAACTCCTTTCCTTTTCTTCCCAGACCCCCGGAAAGACTCAGTTTCCCCACCTTGACTGCATTTAGGGGTGGCTGTGCGACTGAGTTCTGGCCAATGAAGTGTGAGTGGGAGAGGCCACTCACTAGTTAGAAACGAGTCAACATCACTGGGTACAAGGTCAGTATACAAAAATCAATTGTATTTCTTTACACTAGCAACAAATAATTTGAAAGTGAAATTTCAAAAAACAGTTCCATTATCAATAACACCAAAAACGAACCCCCAGGAATAAATATAATAAAAGATGTGCAAGACCTCTATCAGAAAACTATAAAACACTACCAAGAGAAATTAAAGAAGCAGGGGAAAAAAGGAGTTACATACCTTGTTCATACATTGAAAGAATACTATAAATCTGATAAATCTCCCCAATTTTATTTAGGGGATTCAGTTCAATCCCAAGCAAAATCCCCACATGAGTTTTTGTGTGTAAAAACCAACAAGCAAATCGTGAAATGCAAAGTGTCAAGAACAGAAAACAGTCTTGAGGAAAAACCAAGTAGAGGATGTAAATCACTGATTTTCAAGCTACTATAATTAAAACTATGTGGTATCAGTGAAAGGGTAGACAAATGGGCCAAAACAGTAAAATAGAGTTCCCCAACTCAACCCACACATATATAATCAACCTGATTTGCAGCAAAGGTACAGTGCCACACAGCGGAGAAAGGAAGATCTTTTCAGTAAATGGTGCCGATCCATTGAATATTCAAATGGGAAACACCTTGACCCCTACATCATGCCAAAGACATAAATAAATTACAGAGAAATCATAGACCAAAATGTGAAAGGAAAACAGCAAAGCTTTCAAAAGATAGCAGAGGAAACACAGAACATCTTCATGACCTTGGGATAGGCAAAGATTTCTTTAACAGGACGCAAAACATACTACTCATAAAAGAAAAGATTGATACCCAGTATTTCATTAAAATTTAAAACTTTTGTTTATTTAAAAAAAATGAAGGGAGTGAAAAGGTAAGCCACAGAGTGTGAAAATATAATTGCAATCCGTATAATTGACAAAGAATTCATATCCAGAATATATAAAGAACTTCTTCAAATCAATAAGAAAAAGAGAGACTATCTAAAAGAAAAATCAGCCAAAGATTTAAACAGGAAATTCTCAAAAAAGAATACTAAAGTGTCCAACGAGGCTTTAAAAAGGTGCTCAATAACATGAGTCATTAGGAAAATGCAAATTAAAAACACAATAAGATACCACAGCACTCACACCAGAATGGCCACATGAGAAAGACAGACAATACCAAGTGCTAGCAAGGATATGGAGCAACTGGCAGCCTCATGCAATGCTAAAGTTGGGCATGTAAATTTGCAGAACTACTTTGGAAAACTATTTGGCAACATCTACTAAAGTTTTATGTATGCACGCTCTGTGACCCAGCAATTCTACTGCTCGGTACATACACAACAGAAATTTATAGATATGTGCAGCAAAAGACACATTCATAACAGCTTTACTGATAATAGTCCAAACTGAAGACAATCCAAATGCCTGCCAGCAGTAGAATGGATAAACTGTGGTATATTCATGCAATGGAGTCTTATACAGCAATGAAAGAGAATTAATTGCTGCTTCAAGCTACAATATAGATGAATCTCACAGATGTAATATTGTATGAAACAAGTGTGTGTACCTTCCCTATGCTCTCTTTCCTCACCTGCCAACTAAAATGACAAGGACTCCGAGGATCTAGAAGAGGGTTGAGCAGCAAAATAGAGCTTGGGGGCCCCTGAATGATCATGTGGCCAGGAACACCCCCTTTGTGCTGTGACGTCAGTGAAAATGACTTTTTGTGTTAAGTCACAAAATCTGGGGTTAATCTGTTTCAGCAGCCACCATTTCTTACCCTCAGTGGTAAACAGGGCAATGTATAGTTAAGTGAGAACAGGTGGTACCATCAGAATGTGCTGGAGAAGCTCATAAGAAGGAGAGGCCACCAGGAGCTGGTGTTGTCAGGAAAGGCCTTTTCCCATATACAAAAGCTGGAAGTCAAATGGAGAATGGGGCTTGGATAAGTTACAGGAGAAATTCTTCCAGGTAGACGCAGTGGTTTGGGACCTGATGCCGATGGAGGACAAATGGAGAGCATGGCGTTCCTGCAGGTGGAAGAGAGGTTGGGGCCAGTTTCTGCAGGTGCCCCTGTCATCTGCTGAAGGATCTGGGAAAAGAAGGGTCCATGACTATTCTTTCCTCTGTAGATCTGTGACCCACAATTTGAAATGACAGATCTGCTCAGCTTACACATTCAGGGCAGTTTCAAGTGAGATGTATGTAATTCCTTTCCTCTGACAACATGCTCTGTTGTCCTCTCTCTGTTTCATAATTGTCTACTTTTAGGAGAATTTATGGAGCCTGATGAATAGCTTAACATTTCTTTCTTTGAATTTCCAGATGTTCTGACCAAATTCCAACTTCCAGTTGGACGTTCCCAGCCCTTCTCGAGGGCTGTCTGGTAATTTTCTAATCCTGCCTGGGACATTCCTGTTTCCTGCTGAGAAATAAGAAAACAACAATGCTTCCCTAAGGGTGGTCTGCTTCAGCCCTGGGCCCTGGGATCTCCATTTTAGGGAAAGTGTTTACAAGGGTATAAAGCTCTGAAAGGAAGCGGGCCTGTGAGTCTTCTGGGAAAGAACATGGGCCCCCGCCATAAGGATTTGCCGCAGAATTCTGCTGCATTCCTCAGCGGGACAGACTGTCTAGGAAGTTCACTTTGATTAAAATATAGCTACATGTAAGTGTGTGTGAGTGGGTGTGTGAAACAGATCTGAGAAAAAGGCAGGCAAAAGTAAAGGGAGTGAGGGAGATAAGGAGAGAGGTCACAGGCAGATAGTTCTCTCTCGGTGCATAAAGATTTCTTCGGTGCACTTGAATTTTTTTTATTATGGAAATATTCAAACATACACAAAAATAGAGAAAATAGTGTAGTGAACCACCACGTACCCATCATCCAACTTCAACAACTATCAACATTTTGTCAATCTTTTTTACCTATCTGCTCCTCTCCTTTTTTTTGCTCTAGAACTGGGAATTGGCAAACTAGCACCCACTGGGCCAAATCCAGCTTGCCTCCTGTTTTTGTAAATAAAGTTTTATTGGAACACAGCCGCAACTATTCCTTTATGTGTTATCCACACCTGCTTTCACATCACACCAGCAAGGCTGAGTAGTTGGACAGACATTGTATAGCCCAGGAAGCCTAAAATATTTCTATGTGAACTTTTAGAGAAAAAGCTTATACTGGGCATCATACCATTTCACTCATAAATGTTTCAATATGAGTCTCTAGCAGATAATGTAACTGTGGGCCTCCAGGACCAGTGCAACTGACCTCGTCTCTTACCACCAGAGTGATTAAGAACTGCCTTTCAGAAAGTGTGCAAAGTCACATAGCCAGGGCACGTGCAAAAGAAGAAATCGTGACCTGAAACGACTTCAGAACCAAAGATCCTCCTTCCCATGGAACCCAAGGACCAGGATATGACTGGAACTTGAAAGTCAGACTCTTCTCAGAAGTGAGTGGTTCCTCATTCAGGAAGATCTGGTGTTAAAGTTCCTTCCCCACACTGTCATAAATATTTAAAACCTCACCATACATGCTTGAAGCCCACCAATCAAAACCTATCCCCCCAGTGTTTCCCTGTGCCAGCCTGTTCTCTCTAACCTCTTAAATATCCCCCCAAGTCCTGAATCGGGGAGAAAGATCTGAGGGCCCACGCCCCCTGTCTCCCTGCAGATTGATCTCGCAGAATAAAGCTGATTTCTCCCCCAAAGGTTGATGCCATAATTAATTGGCTTGTTTATGTGCATCGGGCAGAGAACCTCAATTTTGTGTGGTAACAATAAGAGCTTTATTAAAGCCATATCTATAATAGAATTATTATATCTAGCAAAATTAATAACTCCTCAGTCTCATCTAATACCCAATCTGTGTTTACAATTTCCCTATTACTTAAAAAACTGTCTTTTTACAGTTGTCTCTTTCACATCATGATCTAAACAGGTTCACACATTGCCTTTGGTTAATATGTCTCTGAAGTGTCTCTTAATCCATTGTTTTTCTCCCTTACCTCCCTCCCTCCCCCTCACTGCCTTCTTTTGGTGACATGTGTCTGTTGAAGAAACCAGATCATTCATTGTATAGGATCACCGCAGTCTGGATGCGGCTGGTTGCATCCTCACTGCATCATTTAACATGACCCCAGTGCACTTTTGTGTCTCGGCTATGTGCAGTGACATGGGGAACCTCCATTGCCCTTTCCGTGGGAGGTGTGTGGAGAGATGCGGAATGAGAAATCAGTCTATTCAGACCCGGGATTGCCCCTCCAGGATGGCGAGGAGAGCGTCGGTTACAGCTACCTGTAAGGCTCTCGTAATGTAAGCCAGCCCCAGGAAGGGTCCAGTGCTCCTTAACTCAACCATGTCTGAACTTATGTTGCACAAGGGTTAGAATAAAATAGTATTAACGTGAGGAACGCCAGTAGAGTAATCAAAGTAAGAAACAATGCTATTGACAGCGACACACCCTTTATAAAAATTAAAAGTACAAAACAAATCAAAACACCCCTACCTATGGGACAAGGACCCAAGCCTCTTCAAGGACCTACAGCGAACCCTTGAGGGAATGCCTTTGGGGAGGAGGCAGGGAAGGGAGAGGCCGTTTGAGGAAGAGGAAAGGCCAAGCAGGAGGGGAGGAGGTAGGGCACTGACCCTCGATGGTGGGTCGCCTGGAACTGGAGAGGAGGAGTGACGACTCTGCATCAAACAAATAGACCATCCGGGAGGGGGTCTTCTCCTTAAAGGAGACTAGGCTATATGGTTGCCAAGAAAAGCCAATGCTTGTTTTGGAGTGATTTGGTAGTTTTTTTGGGAAAAGTGGTGAGCAGATCTGTCACACCTCTGGCTGGTGAGGAGACTGAAGTGAAGTGGGATCCCCCACTGTGCGGCCACCTGTCCCTCTAGAGTCACAATGGCTTAGCTGAGCAGCCTTCACTAGCAGGCGACAAGAACCCAGAAGAGGCCTCCTCCTATGGGCAGTGGCAGAGTTTCCTGAGGGGAGGATAAGGAGCCCTGGATCAGGGCATGTGGAAAATGCAGCTGCCTGGAAAGGGGAAATCGGGGAACAGAAAGAGAAGTTGAGAAAGCCACCCCACAGGATGACCTTCCTTTGAAGGCCTAGGTCTGCAACTGTTATGGGTCGAATTGTGCCCCCACTCAAAGACATGTTGGAGTCCTAACCCCTAGCACCTCAGAATATGACCTTACTGGGACACGGGGCCTTTACAGAGGTAATCAAGATAAGGTAAGGTCATTAGAGTGGGCCCTAATCCAATATGACTGGTGTCTTATCAAAAGGGGAAGCTTGAGACACGTACACAAGAACAGCACGTGACAGCTGTAGTTATGCTGCTGCGGCCAAGAAGCAGGAAGACAGCCTTCCCTACAGCCTTCAGGGGCTGGGCCTGCAGACACCTTGGCTTCGGCTTGCAGCCTCCAGCACTGGGACACAACAAATATCTGTTGTTCTAAGGCACCCAGTTGGTGGTGCTTTGTTCTCACAGCTCCGGGAAACTGATGCCGCCACACTTTTCCCTTGTGTTGTTTGAGAAGGTGCCAACATTGTATAGTTAGAACCTCTGCTCCTCCCATGGTGTACTGTTCTTCTCAGAACCACCTGACCATCCACAGAAGATGGATGCACATCTCCTTGGCAGCCCGAGGAAGACAGCAAGGCGGTTTGCACGCAGGTGACACCATCAGGTGTCCTGCCGGGACACTGGCGAAGAGCCACAGCCCGCAAGGATGGGCTAGTTCCCAGACCCAGGCATCAGAGGTTATGGGCAGCAGCAGATGGACCCATGGGGCTGCTGTCAGCAGAGAAGATTCTCCTGAATACCAGAAGAGCAATTTTCTGATTGCTCACCTCAAAGTTACAAGGGATGAGATAGGCAGGAGAGAGGCTGCCATACCTGCATCATGTAAAGTTATAACACCCGGACCCCAGAGTGTCTTGTCCTAAAATTCTCACAGCTAGACCCACAAAGCTGGGCAAGAGGCTTGAGGTTGTGAATCCTTGCGTACTTTCTTAGTCAGTTATGTGGGAGTGACTTTGGGAGAGTAAGGGCAGGCATCAGGATGCAGGGAGAGGCAGGCAACACAAGGGGAATGTTCCGGGAAGGTTAGAAGGAAGATGACAAATAAGGTGCAAAAGCCACGAGACTGACCCTTGAACCAAATTCTGAGGAAGGAGCACACAGTCAGAGAAAGTGGTGCAGATGAACCCCACTCTGGAGACAGAAAGCTCCTTGCTCAGAGGCAGGGACCATGACCTTGAACGTCTGGGTCCCCTGCTGGAGGTCAGACTGGGATGCCTAGGCAGGTCTGGAAACTGGACGGCAGTGCAAGCTGTTGTTTTGATCCTCTACCATCCCCCGCCACCCCCCAGCCCCTCTGCTCTGAGGGTAGGCTGTGCCTCGTTCCTTTGAGGAGCTCCATGTGGTCTTGGTGAGGCACCTATCACAGTCCCCTGCCTTCCTCTCACTACAGCCCAAGGGATGGGCCTGAAACTCAGGCCCAGCCACTCAGAGCCCTTCCTGGGTGTTCTGTCTTCTAAAGCAGGAAGTTCTCTTCCGTAGTGTTGCCAGACTGGCATGATGTGAGCCACGAGCTGCCTATAGCCATGTTGAACCTGGCTCAGTAACAGTCTCATCGCCGAAGGATAGTGAATCCTGATAACAACATAAGGTCACTCGGTTCCGTCCCCACCCAACCCATGGACACAAGTATGAGAACTAAAGAAAGAGGCTGTGAGTGAAAATGAATTATTTCAGTAAAATCGCCGTAAAACTGGAAGGCGAGGGCAGCACACTGGAGAGGAGAGAAGCATCTTTTTGCCACTTCTTCACAGAGCAGCTCCCAGCTTTGGTCCAGTGAGTTCTTCAGAGGCAATACCAGCGCCCGGTGGGAGACTTTGGTGCTTGGCCAGGAGCACTGACCCCTGGTGGCAACAGTGGTGCCTGGCAGGAAACAGTGATATCTCGAAAACCATTAGCAGTAGCCAAGGAGAGACAGCAAAACAGCACCCAGGGAGAGTCATACCTGCGTGAGACCTATTCCTCTTCTCCCAATTCACAAACATGCTTCTATTTTCCTATGGGGGAGGGAATGGTTAATTTACAGAAGATTCCAGGTCTTGCTTCAGCAGGAATGGCAAGAGCAATGAAATGCACATATTACTCTCCCTGTGTCCCCTTTTGTATTCATGGGCTGAGGTGGCCTGGGAAACTCAGGTTACATCTGGGTGACCTTAGTAAAGCTGGGCCACCTTATAGCCATTGTTTGAGTTATCTATTGCTGCACAACGAATTACTCTAAGACTCAGAGATTCTAAAATAACAGTAAATGTTTATTATCTCACACAGCTCAGGAATTTGGGAGTGGCTTAGCTGAGTGGTTCTGGGTTGAGAATCACCAGTGAGGTCGCAGCAAGCTGTTGGCCAGGGTTGTGTAGGACCCACTTCTTGACTGGGGCCAGAGGATCCACTTCTAAGAAAGCTCACTCATATGGCTGGAAAATTACGTTGGCTGTTGGTGGGGGCCTTGGTTCTTGCCCACGTGGACTCCTCCACAGGACTGCTCAAGTATCTTCACAACACGGCCGCAGACTTCCTTGAGAGCAAGTCGTCCAACAGAGCAAGGTGGAAGCTGCAGTGTCTTTTAGGATATAGCCTCAGATGTTCCACTCTTTCCTTTCTGCAATATTCCACTGTTACACAGTTCATCGCTATGCAGTGTGGGGGGATGGCACTAGGAGGCAAGGCTCGTTGTGGCCTTCTTGGAAGCGGACTGCTACAGCCAGTCTCAGCATGGTACCATATTCAAAAGAAGCACCTGTTTCACATCCAAAAGCACTGAAAAGCAACTAGAGTCTGTACTGAAGTCTCCAGAAGGAGCAATTACATTGCAGCGTGCCCAGCAAAAGTTCTAAAGTTCCTCTGCACTCGTCTATTTCCCCAAGTCCCACTCATCACTCAAGTGCTCTCCAAAATCTCTCTTCCAAACTTACTCAAATCTTCACATCTCTCCTGTCACTCCCTCCCCACCTCAGTTATGTAGATCGTCAACCTCTCTCGATTCTCAACTCTCTTCTTTGCCTTGACGCCCCAGGAACCAGGTAGGCAGCCACAGACGCTCGAGCAGGGCACCGGGAGTGGGAATGAGGGGAGGCTGGGAAGAATGGTATGCTCACATTTTGTGCCTGTATCAGATTTATGGCCTAAGAGCCTAGAATCTAGTAGGTACTCAATAAGTGTTGGTGAATTAATAGATAGTAGCATTTAACAAATAGGAAATTCAAAATGAAAATGCTGGTATTCATTGATAATACATAGCAACAAGGTAATGGAACACAAACGTGACATGGTAGTATCTTGTTTAAAAATGTGCATGATA